GCCCTGAACAAACATTACCGATGATCTGAATAACAGAAACTGGCTACAGTAACAAATAAGAATTTGTATTTACACAGTGTCTTGAAATGACTTAGTAAAATATTCTAAAGCACTCAATCGCTGGTTTGACCCACAACATATTGTTCAAGGAAACTCTCTCAAATACATTATATGAGCTCTTCCTTGTGACTACATCTACCAACTTGATTTCCCCAATCTTAAAGAAGAGTAAAATCATTCACAACTAACTTGTGTCTTTTTTACATGCCCTCATTATCTCCTGATTTATTCTCTGTCTTACGGTTTAGCTACTATTAGGGGATCCATGGACTATTCCCCTCGATGTCTTCCTCCCCTTGCCATTCCTTACCTCTGTCCGTATGGCTTCTACACCTTCCGATCTAAGATCATGTTTGCTAACTGAGCCACTTTTCCATCTTGTACTGATAAAAGTTACCTCATCACCCTTTCCTTTTGAAAAGTTACATACCCTTGTATATTCACTTTTGTGTTGTCTTTTTGTAACCGTGTCTCCAAAATGGTGACAAGATAATACCTATTAACTTCTATTTGTGCTGTTAATTCATTTATTATGCTCATTTAGGTGGAGAGCCATTAATTTTGTCTTTTTTTTTAATCATTTTCCTCCTTTTAACCCTATTTTCTATATTTGTACATCTTGTCCCCCTAGTCCCTTCTGTGTGTTGTTATCCAAATAGCTGCCCTGTAATGCTGTTGTATGCCTTTCCTTCATTCCCCTCCCACACACCATCCTCTCCTCTAAATTAGTTTAAAACCCTCTCCATGTCATTGGTTATTTGATTTGCCACGACAATCTCCCAGCACTGTTTAAATGAAGCTTAAACTACTGGAATAGTTCCCTTCAAGTCCAGTACTGGTGCCAGTGCCCCATGAACTAACACCTATTCCCTTCACACCAATCTTTGAGCCACACATTTAAGTCCTTGACTTCATTACCCTATGCCAGTACCCTTGTGGTTTAGGGAATAATCCCAAGATCATTGCCTTGGAGGTTCTGCTTGCTAATTTGTCTCTTAACTGTTCATATATTTCCAGGAGTTTCTTTCTAATCCAATCAATGTTGATTGTATTAATGTGGCCAACAACAATTGAACTTCACCCCTCCCACACCAAATCCTCTTCAGCCCAGAGGAGATGCTATCAATGCTCGCACCAGGAAGGAAACATAGCCTTCAGTAGACAGGAGGTGTGCGCGCACGCACGAGTGTATGTATGTGTACATGCATGCATGCCTGTGGGATCATGTCAGTGTGTTGATCGGTTTGTGTCTGTGTACACACCCACACAGACACATATACACTGCGTGTGTGTCAGGGTGTGTATTTTGACTAAGAGTCTGTGTATGTGCTGTTTGAGTGTGAATCGGTTTGTGTGTTGTGTGAGAGTGAGTCAGGGTGTGTGCGCGCGCCAGAGTGTGTCGTTATGTTTGTTGGTGCATGTTTGTTGTTGTGTATATGTCAGCATGTAGCGGTTTGTTATGGTGCATATGTCACAGGGGGTGTGTGTTGGTATGTCAACTGGTGTGTCTTGAGGTGCACATGTGTCAGTGTATGCTGGTGCGTGTGTGACAGTGTGTGCATGTGGCACAAATATTCCCACAAATATTTGGGTATATGAATAAGAAGGGTTTAGAGGCAAATGGGCCAAATGCTGGGAAATGAGAGTTGATTAGTTTAGTATATCTGGTTGGCGTGGACGAGTTGGCTCGAGGGGTGTGTTTCCAGGCTGTATAACTCTATAACTTTGTGTGTCAGTGCATGTGTATGTGTACGTGTTGATGCGTGTATGCCCGTGGGGGGCTCTGGGAGGAATTTCAGAGCCTAAGCTCTTCTTGGCAGCAAAAGACACAGCCATCAATTGTCAAGTTACTTAAACTGGAATGTTCACAAGGCCAGAATTGGAAGAGTGCAGGTATCCTGGCGAATAGTAAAACATGATAGAGATGGGAAGGGCAAGGTTGTGAAGTGATGTGAAAACAAGAAATGAATTTGAAGAATTCGGCAATGCTTAATCAAGAGCTGGTATGAATCAGCAAGCACAGGGTGGTGGTTGAAAACTGCAAGTAACAGATGTTTGAAGAATTGTTCTATAACTGGCCAGTTCAATTATTTCAGTGGCAGTAACAAAACATGTTAAAGTATACAGGTAAGCTATCATTGCATTTCTATAGATATCAATTAAAGTTACTCAGGATATTAGCATATTCCTTAGCAACAAAGCCAAAACAAGTTTAGTTTCAAGCCTGGAAAATGTTCGGTGCACTTACATGACAACTGACTGCATCATTTTAATTATAGTAAATGCTGCCACTTATTGATCAGAGACAGAACTGCAGATTGCTTTCTTCATCCTTAACAGCATAAAGGCCAATTGTAGGAATTCTGAACATCGTGTGCTTACCACTAAGTACCTTGATATTTAAGAATGCTGTTTAATTATTATTTCAATGAAACACCATCCAAAAATTTCAGTAGAAAGCCATATTTTTAAGCATTGGCCCATAATTCAGTGTCAACATGTCTAATGGCATGAGCCATTATTTGTGCTCAAACACTACTGTAATTTCAAGCAAGGCCAGAAAAATAAAACAGTTGATTGCAGAGACTAACAGTTGCTGTCCAAGATGCTTCACATAGCAGTATTCTACCATCTGGGTCATCACTGAAATGCATTTTCAAATGTGAAATGTTGTACACATATGATAGAGATGATCAAAGCTCACCACTAATTACAACTGGTCTTAAGTGATGCAAGGAAACTCTTTTGTACCTATTTAAGGTTTGTATAATTTTATTTGATTCATTCATGGGATGTTTGCATCGCTGACTGGGTCAGCGTTTTCTGACCTTGAGAAGGTGGCAATAAGCTGCCTACTTGAAACGCTGCAGTTTATTTGTTGTAGGTACAAGCACAATGTTGTTAGGGAAGGAGTCCCAGGATTTTGACCCAGCAACACTAAAAAGAAGGCGATATATTTCCAAGTCAGGATGGTAAGTGGCTTGGAGCAGCACTTATAACTGGCGGTATTGCGATGACTTTGCTGCTGTTGTTGTTCTAGATGGTGCGGTCATCAGTTTGGAAGGTTCTGTCAAAACAGTTTAGTGAATTTCTGCAGTGCACCTTATAGATAGTACACACTGCTACGACTATGTGTCAGTGGTGGAGGGAAGAATGTTTGTGAATGCGTTGCCAATTAAATAGCCTGCTTTGTTTTGGAGGGTGTCAAACTTCTGAGTGTTGTTGGAGCTGTTCAAGGTTTGGGGAAGTCAGGATTCCTGACCTTCTCTTGTAACCACATTATTTCAAATAGCTACTCCAACTCAGCTGCTGGTCAATTGTAACCCTTAGAATGTTGACACTGGGGACTCAATGATAGCAATTGGATGTCAAGTGGCAATGGTTAAATGCTATCTTGTTGGAGATATAGTCATTGCTTGGCACTTCTGTGGTTCAAATAATACCTGTCAGCCCAAGCCTGGATATTATCCAGGCCCTGCTGCATTTGGACTGCTTCAGTATCTGAGGCGTCACAAATGGTGCTAAACATAATGCAATCAGCAGCAAATATCCTCCCTTCTGACTTTATGATGGAGGAAAGGACATTAATGAAACAGCTGAAGATGACTGAGCCGAGGACACTATCCTGCGGAGCTGTACCTACTGAGTCAGGAGACCCAGGTTCAAGTCCCACCTGCTCCAGAGGTGTGCACTAACGTCTCTGAAAAGGTTGATTAGAAAATATTCTGGAAAATCCCTGCAGAAATGACCAACTTTTAACAACCATAATCTCTTTCCTTTGTGCAAGGTCTGACTCCAAACAGCAGTGACTGTTTCACTGATTTTCACACCAATTTTGCTCGGGCTCCTAGATGCCAAACTTGGTTACATGTGTTTTGATGTCAAGTTCAGATACTCTCACCTTTTCTCTGATGTTCAACTATGGGTTAAACCTAAATTAGTTTTCAAGAGATTCTGTTAGCATTGTGGTACTCATTCATTACTATCAATGAACCTACATGGGCACTGAAAATTAACTTCTGAAAATGTGTAGGAACATTTTCTCTGGTCTCAGTTGTTTTTGGAGATTTTAATAATGTAAAATTATAAATAATGCATTTCTTTAAACTTCTTTCCCATTCTTAATCCAAGCTTTCCTACCCTTGGTTCATGCCTCTTTCTGCAACTTATTTGTCATTTCATTCATCTACTAAATATCACTTCTCTCTCAGTTTTTATACTATTAATTTTACTTTTTTTAATCTGATTGGTTAAGGCGATACACAGTTGCTTGCCTTGTTCATCCTTATTTCCCTTTATCAGCTTGTACCTCCAGGGAGATGAAAATAACACAGCAAGACTAACAACAGCCATCACTCATTGCTTTGCTATAGCAAATCATAGGCTCTCTCATACAAAACAGGCATAAAAGGGGTGAATAAAACGACAGCTGTAGGCATTTTAAAAATTATTAAAATAAATAAATGTCACCTATAGACTTGAATAAAGTATTTCAACTGAATATTATTTAACAAAAAAATTGCGTCAATCATTAACGTAAAAATTTATAACTCAACGATAGTTAACAGCTATAAGTAATTTGAAACAAAACTAAACTAAAATGCAAGTTCATATTATCACCTAGCAAATATGTTTGACTTGGTTATGGTTTATAGTCAAAAATGCAAATTCATGCTTTTAACAAATCAACTTATGAACTCTTATAAAATAGCTACTGCAAACTGAAAACTCTTTGCTTGAATCCAAAATAACCACACTGCAAGACAAATGATTCTTATCTCTAAAACAAGCATTCAGGAAAATCAAAAGTATGTTTGTATAAATGTTCATGTACTAGATAGCTCTGAATCAGGTTAGTGAAAATATCTCAAACACTTTGAGATCATATCGAATTAATGAAACAATGTAGTCAGACAGCACAAGTATAAAGTATTACTCACTGAGGTCTTCTGCTAGTTGAACTCTCCTTCCTGTCAGCAGCTGAACCTTTTTAGCATCATCTTCAGCAAAGTCCTCCAACACTTCCTTTACATTCTTTTCAAGACGTCTCACTGGCATTGGTGGAAAGCACAGGTATTTAGATTTTAAGATCTTGATGAATGGTGATTTTTCAAAGAATTAAGTGTGCAACATCGTATCCATTAAACAGTTGCTCTTGTGGTAGCAATGAATTACATTGAGTCAGTTTTAGATATGGGCTCTATGCTGCCAGCTAGGTAATGAGCAATATATATCTGCAGATACTTAACCTACCACAGAATGTTGCCAGTCACGTGAGAATTAAATTAGCTATTACTTATTGTATAACAAATATATGTACATAGTAGTCTTTCACTAATACAGTCATAGTTATAGACTCATACAGCACGGAAACAGACTCTTCAGTCCAACAAGTCCATGCTGAACATAATCCCAAACTAAACTAGTCCCACATTCATGCTCCTGGCCTGTATCCCTCCAAACCTTTCCTATTCACATATCCAACTAAATGTCTGTCAAATGTTGTAAGTGTAATCGTATCCACCACTTCATCAGAAAGTTCATTTCACATGTGAACCACCCTGTGTAAAAAAAATTGCTCATATCTTTTTTAAATCTCACTCTTCTCACATTAAAAATGTGTCCCCTAGTCTTGAAATTCCCCATCCTACGTAAAGGACAACTACCATCAACTCTATCTATACCTCTCATTATTTTATAAACTTCTATCAGGTCACCTCGCAAGCTCCTATGCTGCAGTGATAAAGTCCCAGCCTATCCAGCCTTTCCTTATAACTCGACCCTTCCATTCCTGGCAATATCCTGGTAAATCTCTTCTGAACCCTCTCCAGCTTGGTAATATCCTTCCTATAACTGGATGGCCAGAACTGGACACAGTATTCCAGAAGAGGCCTCACCAATGTACTGTACCACCTCAACATTACATCCCAACTCCTTTACTCAAAAGACTGAGCAATGAAGGCAAGTGTGCCAAATGTCTTCTTGACCATCCTGTCGATACCTGATGCAAACTTTAAAGAATTATGTACCTGCACCCTAGGTGCCTCTGCTCCACAGCACTATCCAAGGCCCTACCATTAATTGTATAAGCCCTACCCTTGTTTGTTGTACCAAAATGCAATACCTTGCATTTATCCAGTTTGAAGTTCATCTGCCATTTTTCAGCTATTGACCCATTTGATTAAGATCCCTTTGGATTCTTAGAAAACCTTCTTCACTGTCTACAATGCCATCAATTTTGGTGTCATCCGCAAACTTCCTAATCATGCCTTCTGTATTTTCATCCAAATCATTTTTACAAGAAACTTTTCAAAAATTATCTTACATATTTTACACGTTTTTGATTTCTTTAAAAACACTAAGTTCTGTATATACAAAATAAATTCCTTTTAAGATTAAGAGTAAGTGTTGTGAAAATCAGTTGTGTACAGTACTTTCCCTGGATTACTATTTTCTATCATGTATCTTTAGCAACATTGCAACAGAATTGCATGCAGTATTCCAAAAGTGGCCTAACCAATGTCCTGTACTTCTGCAACATGACTTCCTAACTCCTATTCTCAATACACTCATCTGTTGTCTGTAAATTACAATCAGAGCCACTGTAAGATACAGACAACAGATGAGTGTATTGAGAATAGGAGTTAGGAAGTCATGTTGCAGAAGTACAGGACATTGGTTAGGCCACTTTTGGAATACTGCATGCAACTCTGGTCTCCGTGCTATAAGAAGGATGCTGTGAAACTTGAAATGGTTCAGAAAAGATTTACAAGAATATTGCCAGGATTGTATTGCCAGTGAAACTACCAACAGCATTTTCTTGTAATCCTGTCCACTGTCTCATACAATATCACACTGACAAAATGCAAAAATGAAACTCAGTGTTAATAGCTTGATCAATTAGTACAGTTTCATGTGGGTGAGGTCAGAAAATTGATATGTCAAAACTTATCCAAATGCATACTGGATCACACTTCAAAGACAACACAGTAAGCAACTCCAATTATTTTCCACTTCTACTTTTCAGAGGATGAACATACAAATTACTTATAATCTTGAGAGAACATTTATACAAGAAATATCTAATCATGATCACAAATTGATGTTACCAAATTGAAAAATAATTGGTGTCCAACTTGAAGGTTGAACACTTTTCACAAAAATATGACAGCCTATGCACCAACTTCATAGCATTATCTTTGTACACCTACAAGTAATAACAAGTGAATAATTAATCTTTTCATTTCAGACTCTCAGTTTATTTAGATGTAAATTCCAAATTAGTTGTATTTTTCACAGATCTGAAACATAGCGGTAGAGTTATTTTTCCTGGCTCCCCTGTTGGCTGATGTTGTTAACTTGCCTCTTTCCTCAGATACTCGACTCTCTTATAAATCTATTTTCACCCCACTCCTTAAATCACCAACTCTTAGCATATCATGAACTTTGCAAACTATCATACCATTTCCAATCTTTGCTTTCCACAGAGCCTGCACATGTTTTTACCTCCCAAAGTGCAAGGCCCCTTCAATCGTGTTTCTGTCACTACCTCAGTAATAAAATGGCTATCACTAAAGTCACATTCTATGTGATTGCGATATGGGTAAATTATCCCACTTTGTTCTTCTGAACCTAACTGCAGACTTTGACACAGTTGACCACGCCTTCCTCATTTGAAGCTTTCCAATGACATTCAATGTGGGGAAGCTGCATTCATCTGGCTCCAAGTGCTTTCGTGTAATCTTGAGAAAAGAATCATCCAGCTTGCACACCATTACCTCTGGTATCATTAAAGGTTCAACTCCTTGTTAGTGATCATCTCCAATATGCCCCTCAGTGACAGGAGTTGAAAGTACAGCATCAGGTTTCTCATATATGCTGATAAGATCCAACTCTACATCACCACCACTGGTCTTGATTCCTCCGAACAGCTCTAAATTATTGGTTTGCTTTCCCAACACCTCATACTAGATGAGCAAAATTTCAACCACTTAAGAATTGGGATGATCAAAGCCATTGTCTTGTGTTTAGATAAAACTATTCCTTAGCTATCCAAATCATCTAACTATCTCGGGCTGAACTTTGTTTGTAATCTTGCTTCATATATGACTACTTGATGAGTTTCTGACCAAATATTTACACCATCTCGAAGACTGCCCATTTCCACTTCATAACATTGCCAGACTGTCTCATGTATTGCTGAATACCTCAACTATGTTACTTCTAGGTGACTGCCCCAGTGTGCCAATGGCCAACTTGCCACATCCACCTTCCTAAACTGGAGGTCATCCAAAACTCTGCTACGTGTACTGTTAGCCACACCAAGTCACCCAGCACCTCCTTTCTAAAAATCTATATTGGATCCAAGTTAGGAAACACCTCTATTTTAAAATTCTCACTTTTGTTTTAAAATCATTCCACAGCTTTAACTATCCTTATCTCTATAATTTCCTCCAGCCCCACAACCTTCCAAAGTATCTACGTTCCTCTATTCTGGCCTCCTAATCATCCCAGATTTTAATTGTTTCACTATTAGCAGCTGTACATGCAGCTAGCTATGCACTATGCTCTAGAATTTTATTCCTAACCCTCTGTCTTGCCTTTTTGTTTTCTTCAAGATGTTTATCTGCCTGAATTTATTTACCTTCATTTATTACCTTGTTTGAATTGGCATCAAACTTTGTTTTTGTTTTTAAACACTCCTGTAAAGTGACTTGGGACATTTTAGTACATTAAAAGATGCAATATAAATACTAATTGTTGTTCCTGATGCATATTTCATCATAAACAGGATCTTAACTAACCTTCAGTATTTGTTAGCTGTTGGCGGAGTGTGTTTGCTGTAATAGCTAGCATTCGTTGAATACGCCAGAACAGGATAACATTATTGCAATCCAGCTGTGGAGCCATGGAAGGGGAAGAGAAGAGAGACAGTATGACAATCCTTAATTCACCTATGTTTCACTTCAGTCTTTGTGATTATAGCCACGGATTTTAGTGGTGGAAAATGAAACGGTTTCCGCTTTTGGCAGTGAGTCAAATATCAAGCAGGTTAGGTATAACATTGCCGATGCAACATCAAAGTCTTGCTACTCTGCTCCAACATCATTAAACAAATGCTTTCTGCACCAGCAGAAACTTTTCCATTTCGGACATTAACTCTGAAATCAAAGTTGCTCCCTCAGTGTCAATTTGTGAGCAGATAAAATTGTGTTGCAGCACCTCTTTGTCAGTAGTTTAAAACTATATATCGGAACCCAAGGCTCCCACTCAGCAAGCTAAACCTCATCAGTACAGAGAAAATTTAATGCAGATCCTCAGTGAAAAGACAATATGCATTAATAAATTACAGAAAAAAAAACAAGAGATACCTGCAGAAATACGAGCAAATTGAATTCTCCAACATATATTGATTTTCAACAAACTCTATGTACAAATTAAGACTCGTGAACATTTGAACTCCAATTTAAGTGCTTGTTTAAAACTGTCCATATCATAGTGTAGCTGAGTACTTTAACATTTTATTGCCCTATGAAACATGCTTCACTATAGCAGAGACTCTAGTTAAAGACCATTAATAGATCTCAATTATCGGTCACTTTTGCCTTCAAATGGAATGCAGCAGTTTTAATTAGAATAATCTGTCCCGAGATATTATACATTTGAAGTCTTCAGAAAATATCTAATTGTAAATGCTTTCAATGTCCCATAAAACACAATAGTCATTTAAAAAAAAAGATGCCAATTAGCACTGCTAAGCTTTCACGTTTGCTTTTACTACTATAAACTGCCATGGTTGGTGCTGGATCTAGATCCACTGTAATCATTGTTATTTTGACAAACATGATCCATGAGGCAACATAAAATGAGATAAAGAGAAGTTAGAGAAAATAAAGGCTGCACTTTGTTGCTACAACTGCAAGGGACACACTCACCCCACATTCAATCCGAGAGTGTGATGTTACTGTTAGTGATGTCACAATCAGGTTCTGACAGCAAAGACTATGGCCATCCATGATATTAAGCAATGCAAAGTATTTTAAAAAGTCAGCACCAGTAAAATGCATTTATTCCAAATTGTTCTCCAATATGCAAAGTCTTAATGTTGTTGATCTCAGCCTGACAGCATAATATTACAGTTTATATAGTACTGAACACAAAAACATCAGTTAAAAATCTTAGGATCATAACTGCAATTTGCTTCCAACGTTTGGCTGCCCTCAATAGAATGTTTTGAGGACATTCATATTTCCTTTGTGTTACCCTTTTTCATACCTCAGAGTCAACAAAATGCCTTTGGTAATAGTGGAAACCTCTTCTACAAAGATTACAATGATTCAGTGATTTCTTCAAGAAGTGTTTTCGGTAAACTTGGTGCCAAGTATCTTTAATCTATAAAAAAATGAAAACGTAAGGCAGTTGTTGATATCAGTTATGTTTCGCAACAAGAAAATATGTGGTTCTTCGGGAACAGTAGTCAGTTTAAGAACATTACAAACATTGTTTAATTGGAATTATCCTATCACATCTGGCTTCCTAAAAAGGAAGCTTTCCACACAAATTGTCGTTCATAAGCAAAACTTGAAGCTAGAGTACATGCTCTTTCAAATTGTACCATTGGTTCAAAAAAACCTCACCTTCAAAATAACTAATAAATTTTCAACAAAGAGTGGTATTGAATGAAACAAATAGTAAAGCATATCAGCTCATGCATATTTTGTTTGACATGGAAACTAAATGAAATATTTAAAGATTTGTTGACCTTCACTTACCAGAATGGTGTCCACATCTACATTTTTTGCTTCCAGATTTTTACGAACTGTCGTGACTTCATCGTTGGCAAGATAAGCTGTGTGATCTTCATTAATCTTTAACAATCGCTCCAATTCACTTTTGGTTTCATTTCTAATGTGCTAGAGGAGAGAACGTATTCTGTTAAATGTCATTCAAGTGTCGGAATAGAGCCACACAGCATGGAAGCATAACCTTCACTCCAACTAGTCCACACCTACCAACTGAACTAGCAAACTAACAATTTGCCTGTGTTTGGCCCAGATCCCTCCAAACCTTTCGCATTCATGTACTGATCCAAATGTCTTTTAAATGTTGTAACTTTTTCTGTCAATTCATTCCACACATGAATCACTGTGTTTAAACAAAAAAGTTGCCTCATGTCCTTTTTAAAAACTCAATCCCCCACCCTAAAAATATGCCCCATAGTTTTGAAGTTCCCCACACAGGGAAAAGACCCTTGCTAATCACCTTATCTATGCCCCTCATGATTTTATAAACCTCTATGAGGTCATCCCTCAATCTCCTACACTCCAGCTAAAAGAAGTCCCAGCCCATCCAGCCAAATTTTATAATTCAAACCCTCCATTCCTGGCATCATCCTGGTAACTTTTTTCTGAACCCCCTCCAATTTATTAATATCTTTCCTCTAGCAGGACACCCAGAAGTGCGAACGGTACTCCAGAAGAGGACCCCCCCCCCCCCCCCATGCCCTGTACAACCTCAACATGACGTTCCAACTCCTATACTCAAAGGTCTGGGCAACGAAGGCAAAGGTGCTAAGTGTCTTCATAACCACCCTATCTACCTGTGATGCAAATTTCAAAGAATTATGTACTTGAACACCCAAGTCTCTCTGTTCCACAACACTACGCAGGGCCCTACCATTACCTGTATAAGCCCTGCCCTCATTTGGTTTACAGAAATGCAATACCTCACGTTTATCCAAACTAAACACCATCTGCCACTCCTAACCCCTTTAACCCAAATGATCAAGATCAGTTTGTATTCTTAGATACCTTTCTTCATTGTCCACTATACCACCAATTTTGGTGTCATCTGCAAACTTACTAACCATGCCTTCTAAATTCTCATCCAAGTCATTTATATAAATGACAAACGAAAGTGGACCCAGCACCAATCCCTGCAGAACACTGCTGGTCACAGGCCTCCAGTCTGAAAATAAACCCTATGCCTCCTACTGTGAAGCTAATTTTCTATCCAATTGGCAAACTCACCCTGAATCCCATGCGATCTAACTTTACTAATTACTCTATGCGGAACCTTGTCAAAGGCTTTATTCAAGTCCATATAAACAATGTCTACTACTCTGCTCTCAAACGTTTTGGTTACTTCCTCAGAAAACTCAATCAAGTTTGTGAGATACCAGTTCATTTGCACAAAACCATGCTGACTATCCCCTAATCAGTCCTTGCCTTTCCGAAAGCATGTAAATCCTATCTTACAATACAGTTACGTTCTTCACTGATGGGTATCACTTAAGAGGCAACTCAAGTTACATGATTAAAAATGAAGCCGTTTAAGACTGTATAATTATCTCACGAGGTCATCCACCATAGCAGTAAATGTGCTTCACAGGGTGTCCTGGTACATGAATCAAAGAAGTGAGTACGCAGGTGCAGTACGTGATAAGGGCTACTCGTGAAACGCTGTTATTTATTGCAAGGAGAATGGAGTACAAAGTAGGGAATAAAAACTGAACAAACTGTGGATGCTGTAAATCATAAACAGAAACAGAAATTGCTTGAAAAGCTAAGCAGGTCTGGCAGCATCTGTGAAGAAAAATCCAAGTTAACGTTTTGGGTCTGGTGACCCTTCCTCATAACTACAAATTGGGAGGTTTTGTTACAGGTATCTAGGACTTTTGGTGTAATGCCTAAGGGATATCTACAGTTTTGTTCTCCTTGCTTAATAAAACGCATAAATGAATTGGAAGCAGTTCAGAGAAGATTCACTTGATTCATTCTTGGGATGAAAAGGTTACCTTCTTATTTTACAAAGGAGGAAATGTTACACAAGTTGGGTCTGTATCCATTGGAATTTAAAAAGAGAAATTATATTATTGAAACACAATCTTTTGAGGGGACTCAATAAGGCTGATGTTGAAATTACTTTCATCATTCCTACGGGAGGAACAATAACCAGGGGACACAGTTTAGATATAAAAGGACTTCAATTTAAGACAGAGATGAGAATGTTTCTTTTTCTCTCAGATTTGCATTTTTGTGAATTTTCTTGCCTGAAAGCAGTGGAGACATGGTCCTTGAGTATGGGTAAACTCCGAGTTAGATTGACTCTTTTGTTGGTGAAGAGTCTAAGGGTAGACAGGAGAGTGGAGTTGATCCCACAATCAAATCAGCTGTGACCTTATCAAATGGCAAAAGTAGGCTCGATGGGGCAAATGGTTTACTCCTACTCCTATTTCATATATTCATACATTTGGCATGAAATACTCAGCAATTCTCAAGGTAACAACTGTATTGAAGCCAAATGCCTCAAATTTATCCCAGCAGATTTTGGAGTAATGCCACACAAATCTACCCAAATGCATGTCATCCATTAATTTAATTGCTGGTTTCTTTTAAAATTGGAAATCATTTTATAAAGTATTGTGATTGAAAGTTCATCACTTTTATCTTTAAATATCTTATGGGCGTCTAGTGTAAAGACCGTACCTTTCTAATTTTCTGTATTTTGATTATGTTTTGAAATGGGAAAATTGATTTTTAAAAAGGATTGTTGAAGAATTGGTGCACACTTTAAAAACAAGTAACCTGACACTCATTGCAAGCATTGTTTACATAGTTGCCTATTCATGTGGTAGTTAAGGCCTAATTTACAGACACGCTAGAGCCAAGGGGTGCATACATGTGGAGATTTGGCTGGCAACAACTAACTGATTGGTCTGTGGATGACAAAGGCCTTCAGCCTGTTAATAATAGAGTAGCACCAGGTAACTGAACAGCTTTGAGAGTAAACGTTCTGGCAGAAGCAAAGACAGCTTTCAAGGAAACAAACCTGGCTGTGACATTTTAGTCAAATACCTGCTTAGTGGGAACCAGTAACCCTGCATCTCCTACAAAACAAGAGAAAGTATCTGGAGAATAAAACTAGACAGCATCATCTCAGCAAGCATTTGGACAGTAGCCACTGAACTGCCTTCCCAGTCTTTCTGCTTGCCCATAATAACCATGTTTTTCCATGTACATGCAAGTACAGAGGGAGTTTATAAAGGGATTAGAATTTTAATTGGTAGAGTTATAGGTCGACAGTTCATAATTGACCATGTGTAGCTAAAATCTCTTTGTAATAAAACAGCCGTCAGTCATTGTTTTCTGTAACCTGGGTCTGAAAGACAATTGGGAAATTCTGCCTACTTTTAAAAATCTCTAATTTTTGTGACAACTTCAGGGACAGCAGGGCCTGATTGCGTGCTACCCCAGTGAGGCATAACACAAGTATGAGAACAGACCAGCATATTCCTTGATGAAACTTTGCATCAGCATTGTAATACAATATTACATATTATGTTCCAATCTTTTCATCTTCAGAGAATCAAATTTAGTTGAACAGCCGCCACAAGAGGTCAGTAACTTGATGAAAGCTAATGGTACACAATGCTGACAGTTCTAGAAAAGACAAGAACTATTACTGTTTCTGTTTCCAGTTGGAGAGATTCACTTGATTCTCTGGATTTTTGAGAATGCCAGCATCGAAGCTATCCATTTGGATCAAAATAAGAATTACGCACTCACCCTGTTACCATCCATGAAACACTTGCACTGTGCATATCCAAAATGGTTGCCAGTATGACACAGACATAGGCCAAGCTGCACATGTGCAAGCTGCAAGCCCTGTACCCCTCAGATCTCCATCATGAACTCCCTCCCACCCAATACTGTGTCCCATCTCTCCTATCACCAACTCCCTCTCCACCACACCATACCCCCATTTAAGTTAAACTGATAGATAATCTTCTTTGAGGGAACCAGCTTCCTCCTCGACACACACTACAACAAACAACTTGCCACAAGTGATCAGCAGACATACTCAGCTGCTATCCTCTCCTTTGAGAGTCAGATTTTTCAGCTAAGTAAATGGGTAACGATACTTCTCCCGAACAATTAGAATGCACGGTTTCAGCTCTCTCTCCATCTTCAAGAACTTGTCACATTGTGCTGATTTGATTGCCTCCATTTCTTTTTACTTACAGCCTATAATTGTCAGTGTATTTGCACAGACTTTCAGACAAAGGCTAATGAACATGCTCTGCAGTGTCAGCAAGCAAAGCCTTCTCAATCAAAGCAAAACAGAGTGTTGTACATCGGTGGAATTCAAAAAAATGCTGTTTGCCGACATCCGTGAAACATTTGCACTGTCATGTGCAGAATAGTTGTCGGTTTCTCATAGGCCAGGACGTGCACAGGCAGACCCTGGACAGTTGGCATCACCATGCTTGTGTCAGGACATCATCGGAACCACGCAGGCACAGAATGGGAACTCTCTCATTACTTACATTCTTCTCGCTTTCAGGGACGTTGTTATTTGCACATAATAAATGTACGCAATATAAACTATATTCTGTCTGATTGTGGCTAGTTACAAAATACTTCCTGTGAGGAAGAAAGTCAAACGGCTCATAGCAGAAGTAAGATCATGGGTTTATTGTTTTTATGGTCAAGCCAATGTAAATTTAGGTTAACAAATGTGAAAATGCTTTGGAGGTAAAATGCTGTTATTCAAGGACACAATAACATTTTCACCAAGAGTGGCTTGATAGCACCACCATTCCCTCAGTCTGAGTCCTGAAGGATACAGCTGTCAGAGTGTGTGGTAGGAAAAATAAAGTTGGCCCCATCCTCACTAATTCACCAGTCGCAGATATACTTCTCCGTATGAGATTTTAAGGCTGTTAGAGTGACCACTGTACAGATCTTGTGAAGATAAAGCTCTGTCTTCATGTGGAGAGTGTCCTTCACAAGCTGTATCATGGGTGATCATCTGCCTCAACTCCTCTGTCCTTGAATAGCTCCAAATTGCTTGATTCCCTTAAAATCCAAATCAATTTCCACCTTGAACATGCTGAACCCTTATTCTGAGTGGGCCCTGCATTCTAGATGTGTTATGCGTGGGCAACAGCCTCCCAGCTTCAACACTGTGAAGTCCCTTAAGAATTTCATGTTTCAATAAGAGAACCTCTCATCACAGGAATACTAAACAGATGATCTGATAAAGTGATGTCAAAGAATGACTCAGCAGTCTGTAGGAAGTGATAGCACTAAAATTGTAATTACTTTTAAAGAAACTAATTAAGAATTAAGCAGATGTTAATAAATTAATCAAAGATTTACTATGAACTGTTCATGCACTAATAAGCCAATTAAAGTTCACAATACCTGCTGTGCACGATCAGAGGAAGTGGTGACCAAGGGTTAATAAGCAACAAAAGTTAGCCGTTCGATGTATAAGAATGGAAGAACTTCAGACAACAGCACAAGTGTACCCAGTCAACCAGCACTGCAAAGTGGTGTCTTGAATCAGATCAACTGAAAACAAAACTGCTTTTCCAATGTATAATTTCTTTCAGGCTTGTTATGATAAACTGAACAAATTCTGTACAATTTGCGTAAACAGATTTGTACATCGACGGGTCTTGTAACCACTTAGGGCTAGTAAACCTTTAGATTCCTTCTCTCAAACTCAATCTATAACTGTAATCATCTTAGGTCTTTCAATTAAAATTAAAGTGAACTTCAAAATCTTATTTGGGATCCTGTAATTATACGCAGAAAAATATCTTATTCATTGCATAATATTTTGCAATCATTAACTTAACTCATTTTGATACTTGGATAATGCATATGTGCTCAAAACAGTTAAAGAAATGCATGCATTCTCAAGTGACCAAAACTCTGTCATTCTTCAGATGGGGGCACCAAAGCTGGACAGTGCAATAAATTGCTTTGCGTTCTATTTCCTTAATAAGGAAATTCAGGACCTATCCAAAACCAAATAATTTGACTCAAAATCTGCAGTTATTGTTTTACAAGTCATTTAGTTTAATTCACTCTTTTGCTTTCTCTTCAAACCAACACTAACATTTGCTTGGCAGAAATGGAAAATTGCCTTATCAACAAAAAGCAGAACAAGTCAGATGAACTGCCAGAGGGAGTGGTAGATGCAAGTACAGTTACAAAAAAAAATTGAACAGGTACATGAATAGGAGAGGCTTAGAGGGATATGGGCCAAATGCAGGCAAGTGGGACTAGTTTAGTTTGGGAAACCTGGTTCAGCATGGATGAGTTGGACTGAAGGGTTGGTTTCCATGCTATATGGCTATGACTCGAAGTCTAAGCTGGCCAAATAAGACATGAACTACAGGGTGGACAATACTGTCTTTGTTGTTGTCATTTTCAGTGCCAAGTGGTTCATCAAGTTACATTCCTTTCTCATAGCAGTTTGATGCAATTGGGTGGCATGCTAGGCCACTTCAGAGATGGTTAAAAGTTGACCAGATTGCTGTGGGTCTAGAGTTACACGTAGATCAGACCAAGGGTGGCAGATTTCCTTCTCTAAAGGACATGAGTGAATTATCAGTGATATGACTATCTTGGTTAATGCTGACCCCAAATTTCTTTTTACAACTTTTAATTATCATTGGGCAACTTTACAAATAACTTTTTTTTGTCTGTCTTTATCCCATCTTTCTGTCCTTTTTTCTCTTGTTTGCTGGACATGGTTTACATTGAATTAAATATCCTAATCTTGAATGTTTGGTTTGGACCTTTCACTTGCATCACTATCACTGAACCCCCACTGTGAATATCCTGTTGATTACCGTGGACCAGAAACTGAATCAGTCACACAAGTATTGCAGCTACAAGACCAGGTCAGAAGCTAGGAGTCTCACAGCGAGCAATTTACCTCCTGACCATCCAAAGTCAGGTGCAAGTCGGGAATGCGATGGAATACTCCCCACTTGCCTGGATAAGTGCAGCTCCAACAATGCTCAAGCAGCTTAACACCATTGAGGACAAAGCAGCTTTCTTGATTGGCACTACAGTCAAAACCATTCACTCCTTCCCACCTCACTAGAAATTCAGTAAGGCTCCTGCACCTTCCAAATCCATCACCACTACTATCTAGGACAGGGTCAGCCAATACATGGGAACACCTCCATCATTCGAAAGCTCTCCTCCAAGTCAGTCATCATTCTCACTTGGAACTATACCACGATCAGTTCAATGTCACTGGGTTAAAATGCTGGAAACTCCCTCCCTAATGGCATTGTGCGCATACACACACCAAATGGACCATCGCAGTTCAAGGCGGCAGCTCACTGTCATCTTCTTGAGGGTAATGGACATAATGGCACAGCCAGTGATGCCCACATTTTGTGAATTAATTTAGAAATAGATTCTGTATGCCTCAGGAAGGTTTCTTTAATCTGCTGACCTGCACTTTTTACATAGTTCTGGCTGTTCCTTAACTGTCCAGCAGATGGCATTAGTAGCATGCTCATGATATGCATGCTTTGACACCATTTTTCCTTAATCTCCTATCGTAATTTCTGGAACTCTTTCTGCAGAACATGGGAGCTCATTCTTTCCCAAGTAATTTGTTCTCTTTTTCTCACTATTTCTGCCTTGAGTCACCACCCCTTCTTTTTCTTCTACATACCCCCAACGCACCCACATAAAATTCGACCAAATACTGAAGCAAACCAAGTACTACAGCCACATTGCCTTTCTATGTACTTGCTTACAGAATGGGATCATCCCCATCCCACTTACCTTCCCCAGCCTCACCTCACCTCTCTCCATTTATTTCGGAGCTCCCTTCCCCCGTCCCTCATTTCTGAAGAAGGGTCCCGACCCGAAAGGTCAACTTTCCTGCTCCTCTGATGTTGCCTGGCCTGCTGTACTCTTCCAGCTCCATTCTGTGTTGTCACATAAAATTCTGCTTTGGCACCGACGTGGTAACTCTCAGAAATTACTGCAACTTTCATTACCACTATACTCCAGTGTTTTTCCCAAATTTTGGGTAACTGTAATTTTCCTATAACAACTATCAACTCTCAACCAAGTTACTACTTTTAGAACAAACTTGGCTATCTTCAGCAGACTCAACCTTTCCTATCTATTCTTAGGTTGCACATTCCAAAAATGCCTTCACTCTCATCTGCGATACAGCATCATCTGTAATTCCACAAGACCGGTGAACACAAGCTTCACAATGCAGCTTACATGAATCCTCCAAGGATGTTTCCTTTGGCATTTAACACATCAAGGAACATTCACATTCAGTGGGATTGGCACAAAAAGTTTGCTACTGTTCTACTACTGTAATCCTGATAAAATTTAACTGAAGCTTTGAAACAGATAAAAATATTAATTTCTGGTCAAGACTATAGAAACTTGAACAGCAAATTAATGCATTAATATCATAAATGAATTTAAAGCAAATTGCCTGCAATTTCTCCATGCACAGGAGGAGTGTACTTTCATGCAACCTCAGAGTATATACTTGTACACATGAACTGATATGTAACATGCACATACCAATTACAGTCAAAATGCCACTCAACCCTGTGCCGCCTTTACATGCACATTAAGTCAAGAACTTTTAGAACAATGTTTTTGAACAAAATACCAAATAAGAAAACTCTATCCATTAATTTCACCTTTCTCTGTTCCCAAAAATATATTGAGCAGAGAAGCAATCTAATTGATTGCTGGGGCTTAAGCAAAAGAAAAAGCACATATTCTCATCTTCAAGCTCAGTACCTTCTACCAAGCATGTAATTCATTTTCAAATGTGGAAATACAGGGACAAGGCAATTACCGGTCCCCATTTTCTGTTCAGTTTGCTCTTATAGAAATAGTCTCAACCTTTGGAAGAATGGAGAATTAGCATATGCTAGATATATTAAATGCATTTATCTCACCTGTTCCTGAGATCGTGATTTCCAGTAGAACCACCTTTCTTGCCAATTTGGTCCCACCATATCATGAATTATAGACTCAGCTATTAAGATAAATGAGGAATACATGATTAGAATGACATCCCTCACATTAGCTATTCTCATTCCATTTAGATACTCCCTTGTGTATGATCTAAAATATGGCATTTTACATGATAATAAAACGTAGAGAGCCATTTTCATCTGTGCTTTCTTAAGTCTAAGCTGCACAAGCAGAAAATGTATTCCCAAATTTGATTTCCTTTCTTTTCAAGAAAAATTTTAATTCACTAACATTTATCCTTTCTTTTCCACT